TAGTTCAAAAATCACACTGTTTTACAACCCTTACATGTTATTCTAATTGTTTTGCACCAGCCAGATGTTACATCACAGTGGTGTTTTGGGTCAAAAGATCCCCGAACACTTTAATTCCCATTTGACTGACTAGATCTCAATTACAGACCTATTAGATTGATTGTTATAATCACATTTCTCTCCCACCCGTTACAGTCTCTACACCTACATCATCGACAGGCACACAATTCAACACAAATTCACCACTAATAAAAATCTCTCGGACAACGTCTTATTGATTAGGTTCTGGTAGCCTGGGGGCCCTTAACATGAAAGCATTTGAGAAGGAGGTATGTCAGACAACAGTATTGGGCTCCTAATGCCCTTGTAATTCGACTGGTTTGGATCAAAACCGTTTCAGTGGATTTCCCCTAAAATCCCCCCTAATTTAGCAGTGCAATAAAGATGAGCAAAGCACGGATGCAGAGAAGATACCTTATAGAGAACATGCAGGTAGCACTTAACATAATGATCGGCGCTTTATAAATGAATGCAAAGGATCCAGACCCACGGAGAAAAGCAAGCCACAGCCCAGATAGCATCGACAAACTGCTGTAGTGTGTGTGCGCTGCCTCACGTTGTGACTGAGGAGCTTGTTTAATCTAGGTCTAGGACGCTGTTATATTGAATAAAATGGTGAGAGAGAAAAAATAGCGAGCCAACAAATGCTCCACGGTCTATCCTTGAGCAATCGCTTTGAATGAAACAATGATCCCAGATGTCAGTGATCAATCTGAACAAAGATTCATCCCACAGTGTGAGAAAAAAAAAAAAACACAAAAAAACAACATACACAATCATTAGGATAACTCACCTGCTTTTACAGAAGCTGATGCGCGCTCCATGTCGAGATTTCCTCCATACCATGCCCGTCAGTTTCGCCACAAGACAATGGTGCTGTGTGTGAACTGCTCGCCGGGTTTCAGTATCAAACACAAAGATCTTTACTCTTATCTCCTGCTTTGCACAGTCTGTGTGCTTTGCGCATTCACGACGCCAAGGTCAGGAGCGCCAACGGTTTTAATGGAGCGCCCACCATAGAGATCTCTGTACGGCGCCCACTGCCAGCGCGTTACTAGGCAACCACCGGGATACGCCAGTGCATTAAATTCACCCTCCAACAACCGACAAAATCCCAATTTAGAAACCATTAAGCAACCCACCTTAACCCCGGACAGCGCTCGCGTACTCGCACGATTTTTGTGCTACCTTTGACCGGATAAACAAGTGAGGCTGCACAGCAGTGAAGGCGTGCGGGCCTGCATGCTGAGAAGGATGCGTGCATTTCGAATACATTACGTTTAATTGGCATAAGCCTTTTTTTTTTTTTAGCTAAGTGTGACAAGCATGGCTGAATGAGGTAGGGTAAGAAAACTGCAAACCTTTCTCAAATGGGCTTTTCCTATTATAATATACTTTAAATTAGATTCTATAATTTAGAAGTAGTAGACAGTATGAGTTTACTAATCAAGCCTCGGTTCTCTCATCACTATGGGAAATTGTATCTTAAAAAATAAATAAAAGAAAGCCTTGGAGCAACAGCTCTGAAACATCAGACCCACCTTATTTATCTTACAGACTGTAAGGACAATGCATGGATTTTATTTAGCTACAACACAGTGACAACAGGTGGCAGGAAATTAGTCCAGGGCTAGAAAGTTTCTTCTCTCTCAGTAGACTAGAAACGAAAAATCACTAGAATGACTGTATTGCTGCTTCTTGTGCTTCTTCCTGTAGCTTGCTGGCTGCTAACAAGTGTTTGTTTTAAGTATTTTTTTGAAGCTTATTCCTCTGTTGAATTATTCAATTGATTTTAAAATGAAAATATGAATGCCACACTGGAATATGCCTCAAATAGAAATCCACTAACATATGCAGTCCAGACACTTGCTGACAGAGCAAGCATTTTTCCCACATATCATTTTTTTTTATTATGCCCTAGGGCCACAGCTGTGATGCTGTGATTTTTGCATGTATGGAGCTGAGAGATTGTCTTTACAGTCCTTGGGAGAGGTGCTGCCCAGTGATGTCTGTTTCAAGCTGGGCTACCAAAGCAAGGAAAGCTTTTTATAGAAAAATGGCCCGCATTTATTGTCAGTTGATGATGATGTGGGGAGAAAGCTCTGTTTGATACATAAACATATATGTGTAAATGCATGGAGATTATTACCTGCCTGTAGGCAGGTTCGTTTATAGGATGATGCCTTCCAAGTCACCCGTGTTTTAGCTGGGCCTAAAGTTTTTTATGAGGACTTTTTTTTGTGTGTGTGTTTATCAGTGTTATCCTTGTGGCGAGAAGAGTTCAACAAACACATTTCTGAAAGGAAGACATTTTAATTAAAGACACACAGTTTCCAGTCCAGATATTTGCAGTCATGGACAGTTTCTCTACATGAACCCTAGAGTGGGCTGAATCAGCTTGATTAGAGACAAAGATAAAGCAGCTTCCATGGCCATGGGTGTACCAGGATATCCATTGTCCTTAAGTGAGAATAAATATTTTCATTCTCTTTCATAATGAAAAGATTCACATCTAGTGTTGAACTGACATGGGTTTAGCACAGCTAGCACCTTCGCCTACCAGCCTGACTAATATTGCACTGAACCTTTAGGCCAATACTTGTGGGTGGTGGGACCACATGTCCACTACCAAATGTTGTGTTGAGCTAAGTCTGACTGGACTCCAAGGTTGTTGGCCTGCAGGCCTATGAGCCTTGCTCGAGGAGGGGGTGGGCAAACTCCGGTTGGAGGAGTTTGGTGAGGCCATAGAGGAAGACATTCAGTTGCCCTCAAAGATGTTCTATAAGACTGCCAGATGGGTCAGGAAGCAGAGGTAGAGAAATGCTGACCTGACAGTGTGGTGGAAGGAGAACTTTGAGGATGCCATGAGTCCAACTGAATGCTCTGAATGAGGAGACATTTGAGAAGTGCTGGGAGTAGTAATGCTTCTAACACAAACTGAAAGTAAACAGTTGCAGTGGTTGGGTATCTGACAAGGATGCCTCCCAGGCACATCTAACAAGGAGGAGACCCTGGGGCAAACCTAGAACACAATAAAGGAATAACATAGCCTATGTGACCTGCAAACTCCTCATGATCCCCCAGGAGGAGCTGGAGGACGTGGCTGAGGAGAGGGGTGTTTGTGCTATATCTTGCTGCTGGTGTTGCAACCTGGAGCTAGATCAGTTTGCCACATTACACATTTTCTGCAGGCAATCCACAAACCTGTCTCAATCTGCTGTGTGCCTTTTTCAAACTGCTCTTTTTGGATGTCACGTTTCAAACACTATAGGCAGCAAAGGTCCACCTTGATTAGCTCTTGTACCCTTCAGAGAATTGGAGCTGCATCTTAATTTTGCCCTCCTTCTAATAAGGGTCAGTATTGTCTCAGTTTTCTGGATTCCCAGTGGCCCCTTCCGATCCCTCACTCCCTCTGCTTTGTTCTTCGGGACCTACTGCAGTGTCTGAGTGCTGAGAGGATACAATGCCAACATGCCCAAATAATGCACAGCACTGCTCTCAAACAACCACTTTACTACATTCAAGTTATTTTACAAGGTTCACAGTCTTTCATGCTGTACTGGCGTCCGTTGTCTATCTTGGCAATGTACCTGTGCTTTTTTATTATTTTTTTGTCTTTTGTTGAGACAGTTATGTAGCCATCTCCCCTATCATTTATCTCTTTTATATTATTTCATTGTCTGGTTGTATCAATGTTTGTATCATATGCGATCCTTTATGTAAATGAATGAAACTAGAATGTCTCTTTGTTCCTTGAATACACCATAAAGATTAGATTAGATTAGATTAGATGAAACTTTAATGAACCCCAGGGGGAAAGTGGGTCATGGCAGCTGTAGAAAAGAAGACATACTGTAGGTAAGAGAAAACAGAAACATCTGCTGAATACACCAGAGGAAAATAACACAACAGGATATATGAAATGATGGTGGTTATAGTGATTATAGCCCACTGAATAATGAATACACTGACAATCATATAACAAGCAATAGAGAGTCCTTCATTTGAAGGTGAGCGCATGATTGCAGTTAATAGATTTACAGCACAAATGCAATGTGTGCAAAATGTGCAAGAGGAAAGTAAGCACGCAGAAATATGTTGAAATATGCAAATTAGTAATGTAAATTATTCATATACTTATAATTTTACAGTTAGAGGTGACATATTTATAGATGCACCTAAACCCAAAAAATCTGTTACATAACAAAATGTTCACCTATTACCATTCAAACCCGCACTTCTTTGCTGCCGTGAAAGCATGCTCTGTGCTCCCTTTTCTGCAGGACTGGGGATATCATGCAGGAATGGTCTGGTTGTCAGATACCCCTGGGTGTTCTTGAGGTGAGGGAGTCCCAGGCAAAGAAGAAGTGGCTTAGTTTCAGGTTATCACTTCATTAGGTGAATTTACACTGAGCCCCCTTTCCACTAATCATCACGGTAATATGTGTCAGTATCCCTCATGGAATTACCTTCAGGAGAATAAAGTGGTATGTTCCCTATCTATGATTAATTTCACATATAAATATACCCCATGTGAATGCTCTTATTTATCAGAGGTAGGCAGATATAAATTAAATTATTTTCCTGTGGTATATTTTGCTCTCAGCTATGTCTATTGTTCATTGTCAGTATCTAACAAAAAAAAATGTTTTGTAATTTTATCTGTCCTGAAGTAAATCCCATTTATTAGGGATTACCTAATTACCCACACACTTTTGTGTCCATGGATCTATGTTGTCCTGAATATGTAATACTCAGGTTGTGTACTGGACTTAACCCGGCCCTGGTAATATTCTGCACCAACCAATATATATGATTAATACATATGATTAGTGCCAATGCAGTGTTTTTTGCGATGAGAAGGCAGCCTGAGAGGAACAACACCCTGCAAGACCTGAATCAGGGGAAAGGAGTCCCGTGGTAATTTCAGGTTCCTTCCACTTTCCCGTGATGCACTGCGCGATTGTAACGTGTGGCAGTTATGTTGGATAATAAGTAATTTAATTCGTAGTAAGTTCATAAACACACGTTTATGTGGTCGGAATTTATAATGCAACCGACGTGTAGTGTGAGCATTAAAAGTTGGTTAACAAAAATAGCCCAAGCGGAGATCTCCGGAGGGGACCGTTGTAACCGGTAACTAAGGCAACGACGAATGACGTAGCTCGCGGGAGAATAAACGTTAGAAGCTCAACGAGCTCGGACTGTTTACATGTTGCGTTCACGAGTCTCAGTGGTTTGCTTTTGAACATGGAGAGACATAACTTGGGAAAAGAAAGGCTCATAGTACCAACTGAGTTTACTTCGGTCTCAAGTAAGTTGTTTGTTCTGGCTGCATGTTTTGTTTTGTTGACACTAACTCGTAACTTCGAGCAGTTGTTGAGTTCGCTAACGTTAGCCTACAATGTAACACAACTTAGCTAACGTTAGCTAGTCTGCAGTTGTCAGCTCTAGCGTTAAAACTAATACATTCAAATGAATAAGAGGTATTCATGTTGGTAACTTCCATGAAACCTCAGTGTGAAAAGGCTCTCTTTGCACATGACAAGACTAGCTAACGCATGCGCACACTAAAACATTATTTTATGTTATTTAGGGAATATCCAGAAAGATCTGGTACCCCCATCGCATTTTGCGTCGAGTGTCCAGTCCACTGGAGCACACAGAGGCGTTCAGATCCCGGGGACAGCGCCACCCATCTCCTGGATGAACCCAGGCCTAACATCAGTACCATCAGAGGACCCCAGTCCTACCAATCCATGGCTTGCCATCACTCACGCTCAACAGGAAGTCTTGGAGCTGAGGAAGGAAAATCAGAGGATCATGATGTTACAAGGAGATAGCACAAGAGGAAGGATGCCTGTTGATTATCCATCAGACCTTAGGGCAAGGTATACCACAGTATGTTTTATGTAGTCAGAAATGCAGCCATTGTCTGACATTTGGGTGGCATATTGCATACATGAATAGCTCTTTTCCTCAAACACAGATTTGCAGAGAGAAGTGAACAGTGGTCCAGATGGGAGTCAGAGTGGCATCTAGAGGCAGAGAAGCACAAGGCAGAAGCTGAGAGGTTGAAGGGGCAAGTGGAGGCCCTGAAGGAGACTGCAGAGAGACACAGGGAAGAGATGAGAGACAGAGACAGCACCCTGAACCGGTAGGAGATATTTGTTATGTTTTTATGTAATTGAGTCATTATACAGTTGGGTCTGACATTCTCTACATAACCAAACATTTCAGAGATAAGTGATGAATCATTTTGAACAGGCTTAACATGGCATAATCTTTGTACCACAGACAGAGCCATGAGTTGGAAGCAATGCGTGAGGAGCTATATAAGACTAAGACTGAACTCAGACAAATCAAAGAGGAGCTTATTCACAGCAGTGCACAGAAGGAGAAAATAAGCTCACAGGTAACTCTATTTACTGACAAAACATTTCATTTCGACACTGGTGTTGACAAAGATCACTTGAGAATTACTGCCACCTTGTAACTTATTTTGGCAGTTTGTAGTCTGGTGTTTTAGTACAGTCTTGTGGTCTTAATAATAGCTTATACTCACCTGACAGTTTTAATTAAGCAAGTTTCACTGTGATCAGTTTCATATATGACGACTCTTCTGTGTTTAACATTTTTGTTTCTTGCAGCTTGAACAACTAAAGGGAGATTCAGGTGAGGAAATTACAAAGCTGAGGAGAGATATAGAGAGGAGCAAAGAGGAGGCCCGGGAGCTCGCTCTGAAGGCTGACACGAGCAGGTTACAGGCTGAGGAGGAGGCCAAACAGCATATTCTTAGACTGTCAGAACAACTGGAGGAAATGCACAAGAGGCAAGAGGTGGAGGTGTGTGGCAATCTCTCTAAGGAAATTTAAGCCATCAAAAACCTTGTACATATTGATTCGAGTGACTGCAGCTAAAGGTTCTGCATCCAAGAACCCATGTCAGCAGGCATCTGCTCTGCTGAAGTATCCCTAAGCAGAACACTGAGCACAGTGACCATTCACTCAGACCTTCCTCAGGAGGGAAGCAAGTGAAAGGAGAACCTATGTTTCGGGATCAATACAAAATTCTATGATTATTTGTACATGAAATAAAATGTCCATTATTTCACTCTCTTTACTTTCAGCTGCAACAGTTGACTGCTTCCCACTGTGCAGAATTGGGTGCAGCAAGAAAAACAAACGGTGAACTACAGGACAGACTTCAATCAATGACCTCAGAAGTGCTGCAGCTAAAAAGCACTCTGATGGAGGTTTCTACAGAGAGAGATGGGCTGAAAGAACATTTAAGGTGCCACATTCAATCCAAAGCTGAAGAGAGCTAAACATCTATAGCACTCTGTAGTCAGATTCACTGATTTTTTTTGCGGGGGATGTTGTTTATTTTTCAGCCAAATGGGACAAGCTTTTGAGACACAATCAGCAACACTGCACAGTCTCAGAAATTACATCGGCCAGCTCGCCCCAGAGAAAGGAGAGAAGGAACGATTAAATGACGCTGTTGAGGTGAAGACAGTATAAACAGTATTGATTGCAATCAGCCTACTGTAAAGTAATTGCACAGAAAAAAACTTAAAATCTTGTTCTTTTTAGCAGTTTAAAGAAAGAATTGTGATGCAAATGAATGTTCAATTTATGAATTAACATGTATGTTTACCTTTTTATTTGAATATTATCGAATATTTTGTAGAGGCTGAACAAAGAGAAAGCAGCTCTTGAGATGACCAATGAGCTTTTGACAGTGAGGTTGAACTCTGTGAATGAGATACTCACCCTACAAGAAGAGAAAATGGTGAAGAAGGTGAGTGTTTGTTCTTCACATAGCAGTGCCCGATACAAAGCTACACTGATAACACATGAGTAGTAGCACTGCTGCTTGCAGGCCGAGCCACTGCTAACCTTTATAGACCAAAAGCTACCTATTATTGTATGTTGTTGGGTTGACATTGTAATGTTTTCAAATCTAGTCATATGTCAAAAGTGTGAAAAAAAAAAAGATAGACTTAAGTTGAGTTGAATGCAGTTCATGGATCTTAAAGATGGTTATTCAGAACACTGGATTTAAGATTGATGATAGAAAAGCACCAGACAGGATGGCAAAGCCCTGCGGGAGTAATTCAGTTGGATGAACACTTCATCTGAGGTGCTCCATCCAAATGTGTACATACAGTATGGCTCTGCAGGTGACATATAAAACTACTTTTGAATGTGTTTTTCTCACTTTGAAGGGCATTTTGGTTTGTTTTGAATGAATGTCAACTTGCAGAAACTTAAAAGTTGTTTGAGGTAGATGATAGTCACAGTTAACAACTTGTATTGTACTTGAGATTACACTGAGAGCACTTATTTTTAAAAGCTTCAGTATGCTTTTTAAATCATCAAGGCTCATTCAAATGAAGCATTTGCTGAAGTGGTGTGTGCGTATAATATACTTGTGTATTTTTCAATAGACCTCGACAGGCCCACTTGTGAACAATGGATCTGAAGGTCTTCAAGTGCTTCAGCTCTGGCGAGAAAAAGTGTTCAGGTTATGCGTCCAGCTTCGCTCAAAAGACATTGAACTAAGAGGAGAGAAGGAAAAACTTCTTTCACAAGTATGAAAACTGTCATCTGTTACTTTATACCACTTATACCAATACAATCAGACCCAATGTGTTTTAAGTCTCTGTTTAATGTGTGGTACTGTATTGGTCTGTATTTCAGGTCAGATCCATGGAGCAGCAGCTCCAACAGGAGCAGCACCAGGCCAGTGTGCTCCAACACAGTCTAGATGACAGGGTAGCTGAGCTGGACCTGGAGAGAGTGGAAAAGGAGGTTAGTACCAGAGCAAGTGATGTGATTTACGTGGCTGTCTGAAAACTTGATGATGCACAATAAATTTGGGGCTGCTTAGGATAGTGATAAACGCTCGTACATTTGTACCACAGCACAAAATGCTGACTATATGAAAACCCAGCTAGGTTTTGGTAGCGGCTGAGGTCTTAAGAACAGCAGCTGGGCACGAAGACATTCACAAAACTGAGCGTCACAGTAGATTTGTGTAAGATATATTATATGGATGTGTGCTTGTCTTTGCAGACATTGAAACAAGACTTGGTACAGGCTCACAAGGAAAACTCACAGCTGAAGTCGCAGAATCAAAAAGCAGAGGCTGAATGTAAAACCCTTACAGAAGCAGTGCACAGGTAAAATAAATGTATCTGAGTTCAGAAATGAGAAGAGTAGGTAACACAAATTTTAAAACTGAATGAAACAGTAAAACAATTGGTCAATGTTAAAATTATACTCATTACAGTTAATGCTGCATATTCACTCATTTTGTGCTTCACAGGTTCAGTCTGGCATTTAAGAGCAAGGTGGCAGTAGTGGATGCAGCCCAAACAAGGCTCAACACTTTAACCCAGAGGCTAACCTTTGCTAAACGACGAGTGGAGACAATCCAAGGTGCGATTATAATGGAGCTCAATATGCTGTTTGCAGTGCTTCAGTTTGTATTGCATGTGTCTGGTAAAGAAAAGACATCACAATGTTTTTTTTTTTTTTTTTCAGGTTTGATAATGAGGAGGGTGGCTCTGCAGAAAGTTCATCAGGCCAGTAAACAGGCAGAACAGGCTGCTGACAAGTATGTTTCACATTCTTTACACCCAACCAAACACCCAAACAATCTAATTTAGTTTAACCAACCTGGGTACAAGTGAGCCTGTGTCTCGTTTTACTGACAGTTTCATCAACCCTTGTGTGGAAAAGTAGCTCTCTAAGTACTCGCATGAGACTAAACGTAAAGAATTTATAAATGGCTGAAGATACAGCCTGTTGGTGCTATATGTGCAAAAATGCTTCTGTTAACACACACATATATATTCAAATTCAAATATTTGTCCTTTGGAAGAAGTTTTATAATCAGGTGCCACATTGTGCCTGCGGTTAACTGACAATTATTTTTTTTAATTAATTGATCACAATCATTTACACCGTAATGACAAAACTAATGCCCAAATGCACGTTACAATAATTCTGGATCCCACTGTGAGGCCTTAAAAGTGCTTACTTATTTTGATCAACAGCTTCCAAATCTAAAATATTGAATTTTTAATATGAATTGAAGAAAGTCAAGCATCTCTTTTGCATTTCATAAGCCGTAAACAACAGATGTTTCCACCGGTTAAGTGATTAAATGCATCATTACTGGTAAAATTTTAAGTATACATTAAATCCATCAACTCTTTCAGTACTAATTCACAGAATTAGTAGCCTAATTTAAACAACTATTAAAAGCTTAATGTTGTTAGAAATAATATATTGTTGTATGTATGTATGTGTAATGTATAAAAGCATGAATGCAGCTTTGTTAGGTTTTGAAATAGGGCTAGATGATAAGGTTTGAATTAATATTGCAATATTAATAAGGACCTTTTCTGATATACTGTGTCAGTCTATCACAATATAACAAGTGTATACAGAGTCAGTATTTTTAGTCTACATGTTAAAACATTTGTTTTCTGCCTGTTTAGAGTTTGGCTTTGTTATGCACTGTGTAGTTTCTTCACTACCTCTCTGCTTGACTCTCTGCTCCTTTATTTGCTCTGCCATCTTGTCTGTGTTGCCCTGCAGCATCACAAAGCTCCAGACAGAGCTCAGTTTGGTGTGTGAAGAGAGAGACAAGCTCACACAGGAGCTGAAAAGAACCCCAGAGCTCATCGAGAAAGCACTGGCTGATCTGAAAGAACAGTGTGAGCATTCTTACAACTGGCCTCGTTATAATACATTATCTGTTAATCTGTCGGGTATCCATGTTTTGCCATTGTATGTGTCTCAGTTTACCTTTTTGTACATCCACTTCAGATGAGGGAAAACTGAGGCAGCAGCAGCGGGAACTGGAGCAGTCCTGGATGGAGGTCCGGCAGGCTGTGTCTGGCAGAGAGGAGGCCGACAAGGGCCTGCAGCAGATCCAGGCCCAGCTGGAGGAGAGCAAAGTCAACCTGGAGAAACTCCGCTCTGAGCTGCTCAGCCAGCAGGAGGAGAGCGAGCGTGGTGAGGCAGCGGCTGCAGCATGACTGTTTTTCAACCTTGACTTATCCAGGGAATGCAGACTGAATACTCCTGCTCTTTTTCAGAAATGCCCTTCATCACAGTCTCCACATATTCACACCTGGCCACTCCTTTCTGCTCAGTAGCTTCACCGGAGCAGTTGGGGATTAAGTGACACGCTCAAGAGCACCTTGACTGTAGTTGTTCTGGGAGAGTTACTGACTTTCACTAATACGTTTTTTCCCAATTGGATTCAACTTAGCCACTTAGGAAACATCTTAGCTTTAAACCTGCATTAAAGCATAGGGTCACAGGGGCACTTGACTATTGTTTATAGATTGTTTATTGTTTGTTTTTGAAGTTGATATGGCAAACTTTTTAGCCAACAGTTGCCTGTTTACGCATCCATCAGTTTTGTAGTCCAGTATTCTCCTTTTAGCTCTGTTTTGCTTTTCACATAATCCTGAGGCAAATATCTGGCTCTGAGAAAAAACTGAAAACAGCCGCCTGCAACACAGTGAGATGATAACTTTCTCTGTAGTTTTGTCACTGTGAACAACTCCTTTCATATACATGTGTTCATGTGATCCATTGGTAATATAAAATGTATCACTTTAATGATGCAGACAACAAATCCTGCCTTTAGTGAAAAAAGCTCAACAAATGTTTGCCACTGGCTGTCATTTAAAAACTAAGTAGAAGTGCTTTTTTCTGGCCTTTAGGCTACTGCCACCTTGCTGTGTTGCTACCGTGATTGCATCGTAATTAATAAATCTCCTATGATTCATTCAGCTACTTGTTTACGGTCTTGGTGTCTATGAAAATTTGCTAACTGATGCAATAAAATCCAGTTCATCCCTCTGAGGTACAAATACAGCATTAGGCTGTTTCTGATTGTTTGAGAGACTGTATTGAGGTGTGATGAACTTGTTGTTCCCCTTCAGCACTGCAGGAGAGAGTGTCCGAGATCAAGGACCGCTGTGCTGAGAAGCTGAGAGAGATGGAGGTTCAAGTCAATACTGCCAAGAGAGAGCACACCAAAGCAGGTAGCAGGATTAGCACCATGCTACAGTTCACAGCAGCTTAACATAGGGGGCTGAAGTCATATCTGTAGTGCAGCCTGTGATATAATATGATTGGAATTGTTTACACAGTATATAGCAACATTTCCCAGTGGTTTTGATCTGTCTGTATTGTCTCTTTCAGTTATGACTTTGCGGCAGTTTGAGAGAGAAGCAGCAAGGAAACAGGGTGAGATGAGAGAAACTCAACATTTGGGGAGCAAACACACAAAGAGGGAAGTCCAGAATAAACAACTGAAGGAGACGGAGAAAGACAAAAACCTACTGCTGGTAAGACTTCTGAAAGCCAAAGACGGTTCTGAAAAATGTCTTCATTTCTGTTGATGGCCTCCTATGACCTGGATCTGTTGCAGGCTGTTGCTGAGAGGGGGCTGATGAGTGAGTATACAACAGCTCACACAACAGCTCTACAAAACTCTGCTGCTCCCAGGGAACATTGGGAAAAATCATCAGAGAGGAGTCGCAGTGCAGGAGCAAACGTCCAACTACCTGCAGGTGGTAATTAGTGTCTTAACTCCTCACGCATCAGACACTTTTTGTTAAGTCCTAACATTTACACAGACATGACTGATCTGACCAATGGCCTGTCTGTATCCTGTCAGAGAGACTCTTGTCTGTTTTGGAGGAGCTCCACACTCTCAGTGCTGCAGTGGTAAACAGCTCTGAGGACTCTGCGGAGGAGGGACAGAGTGACAGCGTGGGACCATCCACAGGCAGCCTGCACAGCTGATACCTGATGATGATTCACTGGAGACGGAGAACACACCTTTTAATTTGTACAAAAGGTGGGCAGTGTTCAAGCTTTAAGGAGCCAAAGAAAAATACAGCCAGTGGAAAGAATTAGTTTGAGCCAAACATCAGAAAACCATGCCTATTGCTACTGGCTGTATAAGGAGAAGAATAGCTATTAAGTTTTTTCAATACATCTTGTGCGTCTGTCTGCAGGATGACTTTTACTTTTATTTATTTCAATCAACATTTTGTGCTGTACAAATATTTGGAAAATCTACTCAACGAGCAAGCTCTTCAGCTAAATAACCTCCCCAGTAACACTATGTTCCACATTTCATTTCTTTTGCTTATTTTAAATGATATTTGGCTTTAAACTTGGCCCCAGAATAGATTGAATTGTGCCCACTGAATTAAAGAAATGCTTTAAAGTTTAAAATCACACTTTGCAAATCTTATTCAGAGAAGATATATTACAGATAAACGTTTGTGTTTATAAAAAATAACTGAACATATGCTGATGACTTTAATAAATGCAATCTGTCAGATAAAAATACAGCTGGCATAGCGCGCGTGAATGAAAGTCTGTTCTGTTGACTTTGATCCTACAAGTTTATGTGATGGTCCAAGTATTTCTTTTTTATGAGGAAACGTCTTTCATTATTTTCAATAAAGTATTTTTATATTGCAATTCTGTGGTGTTCAGCAGCATTTTGGGAAATATTGATAAAGCAATTTATGATTTGATATGAATCCACTTTTTAAATAACGGTACATTATTACAGTGGAAATTTAAATAACAAATACAGGTGTTTCTGAGGTTTATAGTTAGCTGAGAAGGTTGACTTTGTTAGGTAAAGAAGGTTTTAATGTGACTTGTTTCTCTTAATATTACATAGGGACAGTTGGGAGAACTTATATAATTTCATATTGGGAAAAAAATCAATATTTTCTATTTGAAGTTCCTTTATAGAGGTCAGTTTTAAAATGACATAATCATGGGATGGATGACGATAAACCTCATGATAAACCAGATAATTGTGCTATTTGTCATTTGTCATACGTGCTAATACATTTTGCAATAGTTGGAAGTTTCAAGCCTCTAGGTAAAAACATCTCATGGAGAACTGAGGGAGAGCAGAGTGAAAATACTAAAGTCTAGACTTCCCTACTCTATTTTCTAAAAGCATCAAAAATAATTTGCAGGTACACACTCATAGCTGGAAAAGGTGATTCATCATGGCAAGCAGAGGATGAATGCATCAAATTAATTAAAAAAAATTATAATGGATTTTAGCAGTGTGCTCTTACTGCTTCAGAGTCTGAAAATCAACATGTTAACAGTTTGCCCTTAACATTTTAATTTGTATAGTATGCCTTTGATAGAAAAATCTGTGTGATTGATGACAAACTGAAGGAATCATATATTGTCTGAACTTACATGCATCATCCTGATCATCTTAAAGTAATGTGCCATCTTTGATCATCAGTCTTTTTGCGTGATGCACTTCAGATATCACACCATGCATTAAAAACATACATTCGTGGCAGGAGCAGTATCATATGAATATTACTGTAAATATTAATAATTCATGTTCATGAAATTATGTCATGGTAGCAAATGTTTGGGTAGGCCTACTGCAAGAATCAGCATTAAAAACAAATTATGAGTCCTCATTTGTAGTTCAAAACCAGCAGAGGGCGATGTTGTCAAAGGTGAGAGCAGCGCATACAGGGATTTCACCCATCATTTTGGGCTGTACAAGAACAATATAATTTCTATAGGTTGTTGTTTCTTACCTGAAACTGTAAATTATCTTGTGAGTGAGGCTGGTTAAGTACAGAAGGAATCTCTTATCTCTCAATATTTCACTTAATTTTTGAATCCATCTGAACAGAAAACCTTCCCGAACCACTTAATCCTTATTTGTTTTTCCACAAATGGCAAACAAACAAGAGAACAGGATTCTGGTGGGAAAACTCCAAAACATCTTGCTCTGTTCCATCAATGTGGGAAAAAAAATTAATGTTACAATATACAGCCTGAATATAAGCATTTATACAGAGCCTCAGCAGTGTGGAGAGAACAGCCAGGCAACACCGTGGTTAACTGATGAATAATTTAGTAGAGCATTGCAATCCAGACAAGATGTGAAATAAATGAGGTAATAAAAACCGATCAATGAGCTCCAGACAGATTTTTATTAACAATTCAGAATTAATGACATGTAAAATTAGTGGTTCAAACAAACAAGTGAGTGCTATCCCAGTGTGTTTATACATATCTGACTCCAAGCAGCACTGGAGCTAAAAATGTGTGTACTTGAAGAAGCTTGAAATTTCAGGCAAGAGTATCATGAGCAGATCAATAACTGATTTTCTTAGAAAAATACATTTAATATATGCAATTCTTTATTTTTGCTGTAACATCACTACTGACATTAAACCAGTTCTGTGACTCTGGCTTTACTTACTACTGTTTCTCTATCGATATATAAAGTACTCTGGTTCTGAGGCTGATACTGTGCTGTCAGAGTGCAGCGCGTCAAATCAGAACATCTGCTGTCATCGGCCCTGCTTGTCATCAAGTGTCTGCGTCAAGCCGTCAGTCTCAACTTCTTTTTCTGGTATAAACAAAATGCCCAAACCTGCAAGTTCTTCCTACTGTTTTGATGTTGTGGAAGAATGTTTGCCTATTTGCTCCACGATATTGGTTTATTTTCAAGAAATGATTAATGGCCTTATTAACGCTAAACCTTGTATCAGATATTTACACAAAACAAGTAGAAACCAGTTCTTACAAATGCCTTGGGATTTGAAAATGAGTGCTGTGTTGTCCACTACATTGAGAGATGTCTCAAAAAGGTCAGATGCTCTTTGCAAAAATTCTCCATCCGGACGACCAGCTTCCTATTGCGAGATTACCCTTTGCTGTCAGGTTTTCTACCTGTGCTCCTCACTCAACAAACCTTGTTTCCTGCATTGCTAACTGGCCATAGCCAAAGTCAAACTTCATATGTCTGAAGTGTTGTGAAATTGTCTGCCTGCGAACCGTTCTGTCACACTTTGCCAAATGTCCCCAAAGTCGAGTCCTCTTGGGGCCAGTCCTCATTCACGTTTGCACCAGCCAGTGAGTGGAATATGCCACAAAAGTCCCTGAAACTGGTCAATTTTTACCACTGTTTATTCTCTTAAGGACATTATAGCTGTTCCTCAGTATGCTATTTAGAACATAAATGACTGCTACCCCTAACATTTAATAATAATTTAAGTTAATAAATGTTAGCACTACAGAACACTAACTCCTGTGCAGTTGTTTTTAGATGAGATAAGAGGATTACAAGCTAGAAACATCAGATGATAGAAGATAACATTTTGTATTCTGAACTGTTTTAAACAAACGTGTGTCACACAGCGCGCTGGCTCATGAGGCCTAGCCTACATCTTTGCAAAGTTCTTGCAGACTGGAGGTCAGAGCAAACTTGAAGCGGTGCGTGAGGTTGATGTGATCCAGTAAGTCAGGGGTGTCGACCACCAGTGCTGCATGCATCAGAGCCTGGTGGATGGCTGTGCACTGCTGTGGCAGGCCACGCTACAGGGTAGAGCATCAGCCACGGAGGAGCAGTAAGAGGAAAGGCAGCTAAGTAACCCTATTTATAGATGCAGGCAATGTGGGGCATTGTTTGGGGGGTTGCAGTGGAGTGAACTGTCAAATCTTCAAACTACAGCAACGCTTTATGTTATTTCCTCTGGTAGGCGTAAATAAGTCCGAATTTTATTATTCTTATATAATTAAGAGGGGAAACTCATAACTAGAAAAGCTTAACAGATATGGTTTACCTTTCTGTTCTGTACAGCCATTATACATTACAATACAGCACCTTATGAGTTTTCACCCACATTGTTTAACATTTCAGATGAAAAATCAAATCAAAAAGAGCTAGAAGCCAGACCTCTTTTACCGAAAATGTTGGAGCGTGATATTTGACATATGGTTTATTTTCGAAACAGCAAACGTCGCCATCCATGCGTGATGAAGTCTCCACCTGTGCCAATCAGTCACCTCGTTTGGAGCTGTAATTGCAGTTTCCCTTTGGGATGATCAGCGTAATTTGGAATGCAGCAGTTGAAATGTTGGTGGTGTTTACTAGATGCATGAATGAATGAACAATTGTTGTAAAGGAGGCTTCTCACCTTTTTATTACCACACTGCGATAAACAAAAAGGCTCTTGGCCTCAGGGTGGGAAGCCTCCAGCCAAATGCTGGTAAAATATGAAAGTGGCTTGTAGATTTCAGATAGAAAACAATGATTTACTATTCAGTGGCAGGTGAATCTGAACATTGGCTGGCAGATGTTCACATTTTAAAAAGTGTATTCTCTACCCTGCTTGGCCTGCATGTTTTACCTGTTCTAAAAACTAAAATCTAAAATGTAATCAGGCAAAGGTAGTGGACTCACTTTACTGAAGTCATGATTAATGACACTTTTGCTGGGGTGGACTCACTTTATTAAAATGATTGGTGACTCATTTGGAAGGAGCGGTGTAGTTATATGCAAGTCACTGTGGCTGCGAACTAAGCTAATCAACATATGTCAAGAGCAACACCTGCACAGGGACTGTAAGTGTTAAAGGCCCAGTGGGTAGGATTTAGTGGCATTTGCTGGCACAGTTGCAGATTGCAACTCACTCACTCTATCCTCCCTTTCTTAGCGCAAGGGAGAAACTACAGTGGCCGCAAAACGTGTGAACAACGCGAAAGTCCCTATCTAGAGCCAGTTTTTGGTTTGTCATACTGTAGAAACATACTGGTTAAACATGGCGGCCTCCACAGAAGATAAAAACGGCTCATTCTAAGGTATCAAAAACATAATTATTCGTATTTTTTGGTGATTATACACTAATGAAAATATACCTATGAATACTATACTTCATTTCTGCCAATGGATCCTCCTAAATGTTACACACTGGACCTTTAAACAATTACCTGCCAGAGTTTTAATCCAGACCTTGATCTTGAAACCCACCTGAAAGATGATCTTATATAAAATAAAATGTGTGAATCCCTAAATCTAAATCTAAATGTTATTTGTATGTTTAAGTTGCAACCAATATCATACTTTGCCTTTAATTCTCCAGGCAATGGTATCTTAACATCAGTGTCACAGATGCCTCCTGTTCACCATCTCTGTTTTATCATTTAATGTGCTTATATATATATACTGCAAACCTTCCTGGGCATCTAATATGCATTTAAAAACCATTAGAGGTCCCCTGTTTCTTTGTGTTTGTGTCTTTGGGAAATGTTGGCAGCAAACATTGCATTCAAAAAGTGCTTTGCTGTTGGATGAGATTGCAAGCAATTTAGACTGGGATCAGCCTCTACTGGGATCACTTGCATAAGCAGAATGGGGGGAAAAAACTGCAGCACTCTCGAGTCATATTCAAAATTTGTTTTCTTAAAATTGTAATCAAATATTTGACCTAACACTGAAACGTCACATTATCACATGGAATATCCTGCAGAGTGTGTGTGGACTGGAAAGTCAGTCAAAGGGGAGAAAGTCTAATGTTAGTTCTGCCCTTTGAAACATCTGTTGTTGAGATCTCAGGCTGACAAAGACACAAGGAATGAAAGAAAACAGAACATCGATAATTAAAATTGCCTGGCTAATTTGTTTTGTTCTGTAA